TAGGACCAGCAGTCAAGTGCGGTCCCAATTAGCAGCCCTCTCTGTCGGAAGAGGTCGTGGAAGAAGGTAGTGCAACCATAACTCAGTGGCACAGAGGCTTTGGAAAAGCAAAGACCTGCATTCAGCAGGAGAAGAAGCTGATAGGAAGGGTATGTATATTCATTAACAACTTTTAGGATCACACCAAGAAATCTAATTTTAATCTAATGGCCCTATGGTACATTTGGTAATGTTGATAGACGTATTTATGGGGTCACAACTAGCAGGTACTACTGATACCTGATAGGCTGTTAATTAATATGTTCCTTCTAGCCATAATTCCTTATGTGATGTATTATAATTCTGGTCTCTACACTTGTGACTATAATCTCATTTTGTAGGGTATTCTCTGTTACAGGATTAGGGTGAGGTTTATATTTTTAAGAGCACTTTAGTAGAGGGTGTAACTTTAGACACCATCCTTCGCTTTCCTTGGGGCTGAAAGACAAAGACCACACGTCCATCAAAGCCTTCCTCTGTGTGTTGGAGCCATGAGACTCAGAGGGAGAAGATCCAGGACCACTAGAAGCACACATCCCAAATCTCTGTCTGAAGTGGTGGAGGCTGCCGAGGTCAGATGCCTCAGAAACAGTGGCAGAGCAAGTGGAACAGAACAGTGACTATGGGATGGTGAAGTAGAGCAACAGGTTGGCTTCCTGGCCCATGGAAGCAAAGGCCAAGGGACCGTGGGACTGAGAGGCTGAAGACCAGATAGGCTTCAGTGCTGCCTGAGAAGAGGTGCTTCTGTGGACCCATAACTATATCCTGTTTGCTGATCCTGACTAGTGGTAACCTAATAACTTCCCCAATAAACCACAGGACAAACTCACTGCCATCGACTCAACACTGACTCAAAGTAACCCCACAGGCAGGGTAGAACTATTGTTGTGAGTTTCAGAGACTAACTCTTCATGAGATTAGAAAGCCCCATCATTCTGAGGAGTGGCTGGTGGTTTGGAACTGCCAACCTTGCAGATCATAGCCCAACATACAACTCATAGTATTGGCGATGAGTTCTGTGTGGTCATTGTAACAAATTATGGAACCCAGCATAGAATTAGAGTGCTTGGGAGGACTGTGGTGTAAGCAATCCTTGTTAGCATCAATCTTTTATTGATTTATCATATGTTACCTATTGGTTCAGGTGTGAGGATTCTGAGTTTTTTGTGTGTGTACATTCCAAAGAAAGATAATCCAACAGAATTCAGACACTAGTGAACAATATTATTAATATCACATATGAGTAAAATTTTGCTAAAGATTTCCAACAATGTTTGCAGCAGTACATCAACAGGGAGCGGCCAGAAAGTCAAGCTGGATTCAGAAAAGGATGTGTAACAAGAGATATCGTTGCTGATGTCAGATGGATCTGGGTTCAAAGTAGAGAACACCAGAAAGATGTTTACTTGTGTTTTATTGACTATGTAAAGGTATTTGGCTATGGACCGTAACCAACTGTGGATAGCTTTGAAAAGAATGGGAATTCCAGATCTCTTCAAGAGGATCAAGAGGCAGTTGTGGGATCAGAACAAGGGAAGACTGAATGTTTCAAAATCAAGAAAGGTCGTGTCAGTGTTATTCCTCATGCTAGATTTATTTCATCTGTATGCTGAGCAAATCATCTGAGAAACTGGCTTACATGCCGAAGAATGCTGCATCAGGGTCAGAGGAATGCTTACTAACAACCTGCAATATGCAGATAGCACAAGCTTGCTTGTTGAAAGGAGGAGGGCTTGGGGCATCTGCTGATGAAGGTCCAGGGTTGCAGCCTTCAGGGTGGATTATAACTCAATGCAAAGAAGATCAAATTCTCACAATAAATTAACCTGCCCTGTCTTCCCTTGGGTTCCACTGATCAAGCAATTTCTTCAGGGGAAAAAGGACTCTTAAAATAATCTTTATGTGTTGTGTGCACCTAAATATACCTATTCTTTCTTAAATTATTTAACTCATAAAGCACTTAATTTAAGCTGAATTCTGCTCTTGATGCTTTATATATATTAATTCATTTAATCATGACATGAATTCGACAAGGTAGATGTTAGTAGCATCCTACTTTTACAGTACAGGGAGGTGAAATAATATAGTCATAGGACTGGTAAGTGATATTGGTAAGTGGAACCCAGGCTAACTTTAGGAGCCCTTTGCTTAAAGACTTGATTTACAAACTCACAAACAAGGTTTATCAATGAAACAGTGACTAAGTGAGTTTATATTTGGTTAACATGTTTCTTCATTCATGCTTCTTAAAATCAAGTACCCCAATGCAAACTTTTAAACTTCTATTTGATACAGGAAGATAACAATGAGGATTTTCTATTCTAATAGTAAGTCCTTTTGTTTTTCAGCTTATTTTTCTTTTTTGCCATTATATAATTAAGATTTCCTCCAAGGGTAGAAAAAGCAAGAATTTGTAAAGCTAAGTATATATTTAATTCTTCCTAACATTTGCATATCTATTTTTAACTTGAAAATGGCAAACCCAAAATGCCATCTTACATTTTAATTTTAAATTGAGACAGGGCCTTCACCCAATCTAGCTGTTTACTGTCATAAAACTACTACTTATTCTTTGATAAGCCAAATGGCACCCAATTTTACTATCACCTAAAATTTGAATATGAAAGTGAAAACAAGGCTCTTCTTACTTTTTTCCTCTTTCTCTTGATTGACTTGGCAGAGTTTTATTAGTTATTTTCTTGTGTTTATTGATTGCTAAGATAAGCAATTGAACAGAAAATGAAGGTTATAAGCAGTGTTAATTTTGAAATGTCAAGCATCTCAAAGGTCATGTGAATCACCACTCACTCTATAATGATGTCTTCCTCCCTTTTAATTGATGATTACTAATACTTCTGGGAACCACTGCCAAAAGCATACAATACGAATTTAGTAGCTGCTTTCTGTCAACTTATTCAATGAATTAATATGAGGGGGCTTCAAAAAGTTTATGGGGAAATTCCATTATTTTTTATTTCATTTATCATAAGCTTTTTGATAAGCACCCTTCTTGTATACACTTTCTTTGGAATCAACTCATTGGCAGTAGGTCCTTACCAGTCTAGTTAGACTGTAAATTATAGATTTTCAAGTGATTTTTAGCATCATGGTTTTCCCCGCTAAATGAAGTTTTACACAGAAACTAACCATATAAAATAGATGAAATATTTTATAAGCATATACTGATATACTATAATATATTCATATTATAGGAGCCCTGGTGTTGAAGTGATTATATATTGGGCTGTGATCCGCAAGGTTGGCAGTTCAAAACCACCTGCTGATCCTCCAGAGAAAGACGGGGTTTTCTATTCCCGTAGAGTGACAGTCTCAAAAGCTCGCAGGGGGCAGTTCGACCCTGTCCTACAGGGTCACTATGAGTCAGAACCTACTCGGAGGCAGTGAGTTTTGTTTGGTTTATTAATAGTATACATTCAAATTGATTTTTGTCATGAGTTCAAGTAATAAAGATAACGCAAGGGTGATCAGCCAAATGTTATTGTTAGGTGGTCAGGTGTCATCAAATCCGCTCCGCCCCATCCCATAGGGACCCTGCACACCACAGAAGGAAGCTCTACGCAGTTCTCCAGCACCTTCACAGTTGCTCCTGGTTGTATTGGGCCCATTGGTGCAGGTACTGGGTCAATCTGTCTTATTGAGGGCCTTCCTCATGTTAGCTGCCCCTCTACTTTACCAAATATTAGCATTTGGCATATATGATTTGAGTGTATTCAAGATTTCAGAATGAGGGAAAATAAAATGGGTAAGTCATAGACCTTTGTAGTGGAGTGAGATTTCTCATATATGACTTTTCTGCCCTGGTCTCTAACTCCCATTCTGGTAGCATAGTGGTTAAGCATTGGGCTGCTAACCACAAGGACAGCAATTCTATACCACCAGCTGTTCCAGGTGAGAAGGATTAGACTTTCTACTCCCCAAGAGAGTTACAGTCTCAGAAACCCGCAGGGGTATTTCTCCTCTGTCCTATAGCGTCACTCTGAGTCAGAATTGACACAAGAGCAGTGAGGTATAAATAGGGCATGTGTAACATTAATAATAGGGTTTTACATTTTTTTCCTTAACACCCCACCCCCCTCGCTAGCTGTCAGGATAAGCCATCTTTGAAGTAGCAGCAGAGAGAGCAAGCTCAGGACCATCAGAAGCGCATGTTCCAGATCACTGTCCGAGGTGGCAGAGGCCAGGACCAGAAGCATCAGAGACTGTGGCCCAGAGACGATGGGACTGTGAGACAGGTCGACTTCCTGGCCCACAGAGTCCGAAGCCAAGAGACCATGTGGCCGAGTGGCTGAGGACTGTAAAGGGATCTGGCTGCTGACTGAGGTGGGATGTTGCTGTGGACTAATGACGGTACCCTTTGACTGATCCTGCCTTCTCGTAACTCATCCACTTCCCTAATAAAGCCCCACGATTGTAAACATTGTCTGTGAGCTCTGGGTGGCGACTGTAATAAATTATCGAACCCGCACATCGAAGTGGTGTGCTGAGGGAGGGACAGCTGGTGTCCAAGCAAAGGAATAGGAAGATCGAGTGTAGAAGCATGTCTGAGCCCTGCCTTGTGGCAATAGAGAAGCCAGAGGAAACCAGGTATGTTTGCCACACCATTTACTGCAATCCCCTGAATTATCCTTGTATTATGTAGTTATAAAATATCTGCTCTACATCAAAATACTAAGGCTTAGAAGACCCCTTACCTGTGCCCTGTACTTGCAATGATAATGTCATCTCCTGCTTTCCACGTCACAGCTTCTTGTAAAAGCAGAGTCCTGTCCCCTGCTTCAGCAGTCTGAGCCAAACGAGTCCAGATCACAGGAATAGGCAGACCTAGAACCCAACATGCAAAGCAAGTGTTTCTTACGGAAAGGGAGCACTTCGGGCATTGCAATCTCATCCTGGACGGGATCCCTTTGGGCAAGGTGCATTTTACCTTAGCATTTTGACTTTTCTTAAAAAAGGGTTATATTCTTGCTGTGTAAAAGGGAACATTGTGTATCAATAATATCCTATTTAAAAAAGCCTTCTGCAATGATATACTCCATTTGATAGTTTTATTTATAGTCACAATATAAATATTGTGTGATAGCATTGAGAAAATGAACAGAGGCCCATTTTCTTTGTCATTCTTGTTAGGAATTGCTTAAACTAATGATCTAGAGGTAAACGAAAGGTGTTAGTTCCTAAGGAATTCCGGTTATATAAATATATTTAGTCCAAAGCATGCCATGGATGATAATAGAGCATCATGCTTGTGATATTCTAACTTTAGAAAAGAGATACTTTGTTATTATTGTACGGAAGACTTCTTCAACATAAAAGGGAGTTGCCACACACTTCCTTTAAGTGGTGGATTGTCTTAGTTCCTTAAACATGTCAAAATCAATTTTATTTGCTGTACTTTTCCAGAGTACATTCACAGAGAGGTACAACTCTAAATGCTACTTTTTAGGAAGAGCCCATTTTCAGGTATGAACATAAGAAACTACAACTTTCTGTTTCTAGACTTACTGACTTTTAAAAAATAAATGAATAAAGTAGACAGATGACCACAATGTCTGGTGAAAATGACAAATTTGACCATAGGTGCTGTGGGTGCAGAGAAGGCTCCAGAAGGGCGCCCAGCAGTGGCGTATGAAAGGACGAGCCTGGCCTGGATAGGCAGCAGGGCGGGGTACGGGTGGTGGAACAGGAAGGTGCAAAGACATGAGAAAGCCTGGCAAGTGTCATTTTGAAAGTCTTAGTGGGACTATGATTTCTGGTTTCATGGCTAATTTCTCTTCTACCAGTTCTCCGAACACAGCCCACTGTGTGTACCGTGCAGGTCAAGGATGCCCTCTCGTACGGCCAGTGTTTTCGCTCCATATATGGGGAGCTCAGGCGATCGCAGGTGCCCGTGCAAGGTAATGACAGCCTTGTGCTGAAATGGTGATGCTTCAGTCCCAATCTGAAAGAGATCTCACAAGCATCATTTGGGAAACAAAAGCCCAGCATCCACAATTCTGCTGACACAAAAGTCCTAATTTCCTGGTATCCTGTCACTTGAGAATCAATTCAGCCAGTGTGTGGGTACTTTTTCCCAAGCTTAAATTATCTAGTCAGTCAAATGCACCATGCCGCTTTTGGAAAGGATATAGATTAGTTACATCACAGAACTAGTGATTTTCTGTTCTGCTTTTAGAAACTGCCCAACAATAACATAGTCATCTTTACATGGGAAAAAACAAACAAAAAATTTCTCTGAAAAAGAAACTTTTCTTCTTCAAAAGGGTTTTATAGCAACAGAGATCTAACCAAAGGAAAACCTGGAAAAAGTTGACATAGTGAGCTATTCATTTTACATGTTCTTGTTGCTGTGTGCTACCGAGTTAATTCCGATTCATACTGACCCTATAAGATGGAGCAGACTGGCCACAGAGGGATTTTTAGGCTGAAATTATCAAGTCGTTTCTACCCCAGGGAACCTAATAGGTCTGGGCCCCTCATTTTTCAGTCAGCAGCAAAACACTTAAGCATTGGGCCATGAACACTCCTCATTTTACACATGGTAGGTACACATTGGGCTGCTAAACCATCAGCTGTTCTTCTGGAGAAAGATGCGGCTTCCTATTCCTGTAAGGAGTGACGGCCTCGGAACCCACAGGTGCAGTTCTGCCCTGTAGGGTCACCAGGAGTCAGAAGCGATGGACGGCAGTGAGTTTGGTTTTGGGTTCTTTTATTCAAACAAGCATTTGAGAAAAGTTAGCCAAGAATACTAGTCAAAGACTCTCATATACCTGAAGAATGCCTCCATCTGTAATGAGGATATTTTCTGCTTGAAGTTCAATGTCAGCTTCATCAAATATTAACATTCCACCTGTAAACCATACAATTTGGAAATGTATCATGAGGAAAAGTATTATTGAAAGTTACCTCTGAAATGGAGCATTGAGATTTACTTTTTCATTCTGGCCCTTCCAGGCCGATGCATGTCCCTTCATTTCAGCGCTTTGGCAGCAGAAAAATATAAGCCTCTATAAAAAAACAACCCAGGGAGTTGAGGGAAAATCTCAGGGTGGATGTTTTTGCCTTGACCTTTAATTGCTGGAAGGTGGGTGCAAAGGAGCCCTGGTGGTAGAGTGGGTTACGAGTTTGAATGGCCACCAAAGGGTAAGCTGTTTGAACCCACCAATTGCTTTGCAGAAGAAGAATGAGGCTTTCTACTCCTGTAAAGAGTGACAATCTCAAAACCCTCCCAAGGGAGTTCCTGATCACATGGGGTCGCTGGGAGTCAGACAGGACAGTGAGTTTGAATGTTGAAGAGATGCTACTGCAAAAATTATAGTGCAACAAACTCAGGACTTCAACACAAATTAAGAGCAAAAAGAATTACAGAAGCCAACATAATGCTCTGAATTTTGATCCTATAACGTGTATTGCAGCAGTTATATTTTGATGGGTGTCACTAAAGTGGGTACTCGGATAGGACTACTTTAATGAGACAAATGTACATTTGTTGAAAATAACACTTGGCTCACCCAGAGATCCAGAGTTTAATAATTCAAATATCAGAAACACGATTACAACCTCAGAAGTTAAAAATAAAATGAATGAGGAGCTGATGCCAGGGGCTTAAGTGGAGAACAAATGTTTTGAGAAGGATGAAGGCAATGACTGTACAAATGTGCTTTACATAAGTGATGTATGTATGGATTGTGATAAGAGTTGTATGAGCCCCTAATAAAATGATAAAATAAAAAAACCCACAAAAAACAAAATGCAAAGCTCCGTGAACAGCCCCAGTCACCTTGGCCAAGTGTACACACGGACGCACTAATGACTCTCCTCTCGCCAGTTGGTTCTGCATTTACACATGCAGTGAAGAGTTTGGGTATTGGGTTTGATATCTGAAAAACGGACTATCAAGGAGATCCCAGCTAACAACCCAAGGCAGGTTCACATACAAAGATGAGAATCACAGCCTGACATTAACGGGTCAGATAGGGACAGAATTTCACGAATTGCTGTGATTTGATAACCCCTGCGACCCACAGCATTTTTTCTAAGTGGAGAACACCTTTTACAGTACATGCTCATACCCACATTGTTATTGAAAAAAGTTTCATGCAGCAACATTAAACTATATGGACTCTGACATTTTCTAATCTGATTCATTTTAAGAATGCTAATAGCAGGGCACTAATCAATCCCATAACAACCAAGGAATTTTAATCCTCAATTACAGTAAACCACAACTCTGAACTGCATCCTGGATGACAAACGCGACACAAGTGAAATTCACAATCACATATTGTGATTAGATGAACTTCATAGAAAGATTCGATAGCATTAACAGATGTTCAGAAACTTACCCTGAATAAGCAACATTTTCAAAATGGGGGTACTTTGATCCAACAAAATTGTCTGTCCTTTGGAAATAACAACGAGTGACCCTTCATCCGGGGGAGACTTCCCTCCCCACGAGACGTTGGCAGACCACACATCAATGTATAGGAACTCAGCATTGTCCTGTAATAAAATGCGAGAGACCTCTTAATAAAAAGGTTTTAGAAGAACTCTTTATTCATTTCTTCCAAGACAAAAAATATGAAAAGGATGACAAATATTTTTTATAATAATTAATAACATGCAACTGCCTTTGAATAGATACCCCTGCCTTTTTGTTTAATTCACAGGAACCCTGGTAGCACAGCGGGCTGCACACTGGGCTACTAAGCCCACTGTCAGCATCTGAAACCCACCAGCCACTCTGAGGGAGAAAGACATGGCTTTCTGTGCTGCGAAGATTGATAGCCTTGAAAAACACACAGGAGCAGTTCGACTCTACCCTGTCGGGTCACTGTGAGTCAGAATTTACTAGAGAGCAATAGTTTGGGGTTTGTAAAAAAGAAGAAAAAAACCTCATTGCTAATTATGTTGAAAAGGAAAGTAATAATTAAAAAATACGAAATAATAAAATAAGGATTCTGAGTGGTACAGTGTTGGAGCACTTGGCTGTTAACCCAAAAGTCAATGGTTTGAACCCACCAGCCACTCCACGGCAAAGAGTTCAAGGCAAACTCCAAACTCACTGCCATTGAGTTGATTCCAGCTCGGAGCCGCCCTCCCAGGCAGAGTAGAACAGCCCGGGTGCTCTGGAGGCTTATACTCTCGGTGAGAGCAGAAAGTCAAAAACCTGTGTCGTATAGGATTGCTTTCAGTTGGACTCAACTTGACAGCAATGTTTTTGTTTTTAAGTAAAAAATATTTACAATCCATTACCAATGACCTCACTTCCCATAACGCTAACTTTTCTCCTGCTGTGATTTCCATCCCCAAGAGCACCATTACCCCTTTGGCCATGCCCACGCTTCCGATGTTGACATGAACTGGTGCCCATCCTGAAGATGCGTGAGCGTTCGTCACGCAGATGATCTGCGTCTTGTTGGAAAACACAACATCACATCTGGTTTCGGCTATCGAGACGTGAACATCCTGTACATCTTCACTGTAAAGAAAAAAGGGTGGGGGGGGGGATGAAACATTTACAGTTCCCCACCCCCAAATTTCTAGGTCACAGTATTCATTTTTATTTATGTTATTGCAAAAATAACTGCAAATTGGCTAGGTTGTGATTTTGAAATATTTGTTGAGAAAAAGTAAACAAAGAGTTAAGATGGTGGAAAAGAGCATTATTTTTTCTCCTTTTTTGATGTTGCTTCTTTCCCACTGCTAGTATGTATTTATAAATGAACCCAAAACATAGCTTACGAGATTTAACTATTCTTATTCTACCTTCTTGGTAGAAAGGTTTAATTGGGGGAACTCTGCAAATTTATTTGGTCAAGTGATGCCCATGGAAAAGTTGGAGTTTTATTGATCTATGTCTGCATGTGGCTAGCAGGACCAAAGTTTTGTCACATGAGATTGTTAGGTGTTATTTATCAGCAGAAAGAGAATGGCAGACTTCACTCTTGTCTAGAGTATCAATGACTGTTGAGTAGTTAACAGCCATCTGTTTTGATTCTAATGCTGTCAAACGAAAGGAGAAAATAACTTAAAATACATCAAGTAAGAAATTTAATCA